TGAGTAAATGATGACAGAATTTTCATTTTTGGGTGAACTATCCCTTTAATGCCAAGTGTAAACGCAGCCTTAGTGTGTTTACATCATGTTGAGAAGACGCTGTGTTCAAGGATACCACAGAAATGCAATTCCAACCTTTTACCTTTTCATTTTACCAAGGACTGCTTCTCTAATCTTGGCTTTTATCTTCGTTGGCTTCTTCTATCGTCTTAATTTGGACTAACAAGCTCTCCGAACCACAACCTGTAAGTACCATTGATACGTTATGTGCACATTTTCAACTGAGTGCTCAAAATATCAAGTTTTTGTGCTAATATGTGATGTACACCTAGTGCAGCTTTAGGTTAAGCACGATATTACTGAAGTAGTTCAGATAATTTGCTGTGAACCCACTATTTCCTAAGAATGTGTCGATTAATGTAGACTGACGTTGTTCTCATTACTTTTTTTAATAATAAATAAAGTAGTGTAGCCCACAGATTTTATAATCATTGTGAAATTGCTGATTATTTAACACAATATTAGGACACTTTAAAATACCATATGACCTGCTCTTTAAATGACATAATTATAGGCTATTTCAATTAGTTTTTTTTTTTTTGTTATAAAAGCATTTAAATGTTGGTTGTCACAAATATTGAAGAACAGTAAAAAAAATGTTATATGGTGCATATTTAGCAAAATGCTCCTCTCTAGAGTTAATTTTTCTAGTTCGTGTTCACCGAATAGGTTTTTCTGTGGTAAATGTGACGTTACGTGACAGATTGTTTACAAGCTATTGTCGTCTTTCCACGTTTGAAACACTGATTGAGCGATTTCATGAGACAGGAGATGGATTCGGTAAGTTGTACTCTTTCTTTTAACACCCTAGGATGTTCATTCATGTTTATTTCATGCTATAACCGCTATTAAAGCGGAGGAGACGATCAGTTCACAGCGATCTGTCACTCCACATTAAACCGCGCCAAAACGGCATTTCATATTTGAATATTGTAATAAAATGGACAGAATCTGAGACATTGTTTCATATCAAAAGTAACAAATCACAAAGTGTATTGCAATTTATTGGATGGGTGGGATTGCTACAATGTTCCGTTCATTATCTGACAAGCTAGACTAATCGATTCTTGGGATTTATGAATCAATATTGTTTCATATAAATGAGAATCAATTAAAAATCTATTTTTCTTTACCCAGCCGTAATGTGTCACCCGTTGTTTCTGTCTTTCAGAAGAGCCGACTCTGTCATCAGGCGTCCTGAAGCACTGGAAACTCACTCTATACGGCTCCTCTCTGTCTCATCAGCAGGTGAAAGAGAGACGGAGGTGAGCCACAGAGGACTGATACTCAACATGAGCTCGTTGCATTTACTTGAAGATGTTTTAGGTGTTAAAAAAAATACACACTCTGACTCTGGTCTGTTAGATTCAGCAGTGCAATCCTGAATCAGTTTAGTGTTAATACATTTCCATGCATGTTTGTTTGAATTGTCAGGGTTGTTGAAGATGCCATGGGTGGACAGTATCTGGACAGAAGTTTTGCTCTTCCCTGTCCTCCTGGTATCGACGTTCCTCCTGAAATCGTGAGCCCGTTCACCTCGAGCAGCCTGAAGGTGTGTCTTCCTGAAAACACCAGCATGGTTGCACACGCTGTCACATGTGTAACTAGTGTATGGCTTGAACCGAACCCAATGCATATGTCATTTTGCACGTGAATTTATAGCGTGTTTTGTGGTCTGCAGTCTCTCCTGCTGCTGGGCTGTTTCGCTCTCTTCTGGTCGCTCTATTACACTCTGGAGGTGACCCTCACTCATTGGGACTGGCGTGGATGCAGCACGACGGGACGGGACAGAGGCTTTCAGGCCGGATCCACGGGCCTAGAGGACAGTCAAGTGGTGGAAATCCAGCCCGAGATGGACAATGAGTCCAAAGTCCCGCTCATTGCTGCTGATGAGAACACGTAGCACGTGTCTCCATTTCTTTCGTTTGAAATTTCAGGTTGCACTTCGCTTTTGTTTGCGCATGTGAGCCAAATGCTCTATGTTGAGTTGCCTTCTTTTGTGTTCATGACCATGTTGTCTTATAAGAGTGCCTGATGTTGAGTGCAGTATTTTAAACATTCAGTGCATGATTGAGAGAATGTGTGAGTGAGGTTTGCCGAGTGCTGTGTGGATGATATTTTGTGGAGTTTAATATAATGACTTTTTTCTTGATCGTGACGCATCGAATGTGTCACTCTTAGGTCTATAAATACCTCCGACACTTGAAAGACTGAAAGAGGTTGTTTAAACTGGAGGTCTGCTTACCTGCAGATATTTTACTGATTCTAGTCTGTTTGTCTTTTGTTTTTTTTTACTGAAGTGTGGTATTCTTGTGAACAAGAACTCAGATGGGGTTTGAATAAAAACAAAAAGGGAAAGTGTTTTAGTATCTCTGCATGGGTTACAGTGTTATGTGCTTTTAGACGTGCTCTTAAAATCAACACAAAATGTTGATCGCAAACCAATTCATTTCTGTAATGAGAGGAGTGGAGCTTGATTTCGTCGATGAGGAATTGATTGGTTGGTGAGAAGTCTTTCTATATGACAGGTAGAGAAGAAAATAAGATTGATCAGTGACATTAGCCTAATTTTTTCCCTTTCGGATTAACATGCACCACAATAAGACCAGGAGTGTGTATTACAGAAGTAAATGGGGTTCATTTCGATGTGATGTTAACTTGCAGATATTACAAACTGTTTCTTATAAAGCGGAGAGTTCCGGTCCTTGATTCTGATTGGCTGAGCCGAGTGCCTAAAACCCTCTTAGCTGTTATAAATGCACTGTAAACCATGGCTTCTTGGGGCTTATTGCTTTATTAGACCGCACAATCTGTCATGTTGCACTCAGATGAAATGCAAAATTCTGCTCAACAAAGAATTTTAATTTGACCAGATACGTTCCAGAAGCAGGGATTGACACTGGATATGGAAACTTGGTTTAGTACAGAGTGGTGTTATTCTATATTTATATTTATTACGCTGTCCTTCTGGTCATATTTTGAACAATTGGAGTCCAGCGGTTGGGATGCAGTGATGCTCGGGGAACCGAGGGAAGGACTCATGGGTTCATGATCTGTCGAGGTCTGCCGTAGCCTGTCATGCCAGACTGGGTCGCCCCTTTATTGGATCCCATCTGCAGGCCTATGACATTCTTCCCTTCTTTCAGCTGGCCTTCAGAGAAACCTCTCCGGTTCTCCTGAGCTTTCCTGCAAACAGAGAGCAGACACGTCAGTCCGTGTAATGTGTGCAGTGCTGCGTCCGTGTGATCAGCGGGACTCACTTGAAGAACCAGCTGGGATCTCCGCGGAAGCTGCCCTCATCTTTAGTAACGGCGATGCTGCCCAGAGCCATGAGTGTCCTCTGCACCGCGGCCAAGTCCTTTCCTGACGTCACAGCAGCAGCAGCATGATTAAAGCACAGCTCTTTTGCACAAGCAAGCTATGAAGATGCACATAGATCTTAACTGTTTTGGGATCTAGCAGGGAGACGGTCCGCAGTGATTCCTGCATTTGTTCTAACTGAATTGTGACCCTGGAGCACAAAACCAGTCATAAGGGTCAATTTTGAAAAATACGTAAAAAAACAAAATGTAATAATCACTTTAATCTAGCTTGCTCCAGCAGTTGTACACAGAAGCAGCTCCAGGCTGATGAGGTATGAGGTCAGTGCTGCGCATGCGCCGGTGAGTCTCGTGAAAACCAACATGGATATTTTTCTTACAAAAATGCATCGATTTGCTACAGGAGCCGTGTGAGTCACTTTCTTTTATGGATGGGCGCATTTTTATTTAACTTCTTTTGGACTGAAGCAATGCAACACCCGCTGAGTGCCATTAAACAGCTTGAAAGATCAAAGACTATTTTTAATATAACTCCGACTGGATTCGTCTGAAAGAAGAAAGTCATATACACCTAGGATGACTTCATTTTTGGGTGAACTAACCCTTTAAGACTGCTTTTGTGCTCCAGGGTCACAACTGATTAGATGTTGAATGTTTGTTTGTTTTAATAATAACCATTGTCCGTGGCAACAGAAGATACCAGTAAATATTCGAAGACGAAGAGATGCTTGTTTTTTGGTATTTGGAATTATGGGTATTTTGGTAATTAAGGGATATTATTAAGGGATTTTATTGTGTAACATCAATCCCTGAACGGATAAAACACCCATTAAACCTTCGTTACAGTAGCATTAGGGATAATTTTACAGTCTCCTGTGTCAGAAATCAGGAGATCATCAGCACATTTGCTGAATTCCTCACTGAGCTCCGTTTGTCTTTTCGTCTGAAAGAAGAAAGTCATATACACCTAGGATGACTTCATTTTTGGGTGAACTAACCCTTTAAGACTGCTTTTGTGCTCCAGGGTCACAATTGATTAGATGTTGAATGTTTGTTTGTTTTAATAATAACCATTGTCCGTGGCAACAGAAGATATCAGTAAATATTCGAAGACGAAGAGATACTTGTTTTTTGGTATTTGGAATTATGGGTATTTTGGTAATTAAGGGATATTATTAAGGGATTTTATTGTGTAACATCAATCCCTGAACGGATAAAACACCCATTAAACCTTCGTTACAGTAGCATTAGGGATAATTTTACAGTCTCCTGTGTCAGAAATCAGGAGATCATCAGCACATTTGCTGAATTCCTCACTGAGCTCCGTTTGTCTTTTCCAGTCCGGAGAGCATTTTTCAGGAACAAACAAGTGTTTTATTTCAACTCTGATGTACAGTGTTCTACACCTGGGTTGTTGTCCGGATCATTTCATTTGAAAGGTTATTGCTGAACTAATAAGAAACCATATTTTCCACACCTCGGGCCCAAAGTATCATGTGTAGTATATATAATGTTTTCATGCTTTTGTTCTTGGACTTTTTCTTAAGCTATTGCCTGCAATTCAAAATATATTGTTATAGTTATTGTTACTGATTCTAAACCTAAAGCATTATTATTTTAACCCTATTACAAATGTAAAAACAATAGAAAAAAAAGATAAGTAAATTCTGGCATCGTCAACTAGCTTTAAAAATTAAACATTAAATGCCAATGCTGTTCCATTAATGAAATGTAGCATTGCATCAGTGTCTCAGCAATGGATGCTCTGCAGTGAATGGGTGCCGTCAGAATGAGAGTCCAAACAGCTGATAAAAACATCACAATAATCCACAAGTAATCCACAGCACTCCAGTCCATCAGTTAACATCTGGAGAAGACAAAAGCTGAAACACATCCAGCATTAAGACGTTTTTAACTAAAATACTGACGGCACCCATTCACTGCAGAGCATCCATTGCTGAGACACTGATGCAATGCTACATTTCTCCAAACCTGATGAAGAAACAAACTCATCCTGATCTTGTCAAGAAAAAAAAAGGAGACAAGCAGTTTGGAGAATTGATGGATGGAGGATATTACTGGGTTTAAAGTAAAAGTCTACTAGACCTAACTACTTTGTACTAAGAAATATTATGCAACAAAAAAGGATTACGACACTCATGCAGATTCCAGTGTGGTTTGATCTGTCACTCAACAGGAATGTTATTACATTTTAGTTGGTCTTAGCATTTCTCGTGCCAATGTTGGAGTCTCTACTTCAATGCCTATTCATTTTAGCTGCTTTTTATTTATTATTATTTTTTAACTGAATAGCCTAGGTTCAGCTAGCAGCTAGCTTTTCACTTATTCATAATTTTGTCAAAACACTTTTTTTTTGGAATTACTAATACTAATTAAAAATGACTATTACTGATAATTTATGAGATGACGTATATCTTTTCTAAAGTATTATTTTTGTGAAACTACATGTGCTGCTTGCCTCGGCCAGGACACTCTTGCAAAAGAGATTTTTAAATCTCAAGCTTTTTTTTATTTTCTTGGTTAAAGGTTAAATAAAATGCTGTCAAAGCCTGTTTCTTGGCAGCCTTTTCTTAAAAGTACACAACATGTTGCTTGCATGATTGCCTTGAGAGCACCACACATGCATGACTTACACATCCGTCTTTGAGCCAGGTCTGGAAGCCCAGTTTTCCAGCCTCTGGTTTTCCAACCCCAGAGCCGCACTGAGTCACGATCCACTCCACCAAACGCACCTCCAGCTCAGGGTCGTACTTCTGCTCGATTTTATCCTGCACCTGGCGGCTCATCCCATAAGATGGACCCTTGTTTGCCATGGTTGAAGTTCCCTGCGTAGAGGAGAAGTCAATAGTATAACATAAAGCTTCTTAATATCCTCCTGACTACCAGCTATGGAGTTTTGTCCTCTGTAGAGGACATTATGTTTTAGCAATTTCTCTGAGACGTTACATGCCACAGTTGTAAGTCTGGATGTCCTGTACAGAGCACATTCAGGGCTTTCCAGAGATACCAAATGATTGGATGTTTCACCGTGACCACTCCCTCTCCTTGGTCTTTAAAAATGGCTGACATTAATTTAGTGATCAAGTGTAACACCCTTATGGAAATATGATTATATTTTGTAATTATCATTTAAATCTAATTTTCAAATTGTTTGTCATAAATCAACATCTCAGGAAAATGTTATGGGGTTTCAAATCAAAATATGCCCTTCTGTTATGAAACACGATGTCGATTTCATACATGTCCACTGTAGAGGACACCAGGACTTAAAGCATGTTTATTATAGTTGAGAATCGTCTTTATATAAAGTTTGGTATAAAAAATGAAAATGATTTGTGATTAAAACAAAAATCAGTTTTTGTCTTTTCATGTCTATTCATGTGTTTTTATTTCTTAGAAAACAGGACTTTGTAAAGTCCCGATGTCTTCTACAGAGGACATGGCATAACATATGAATAAAATATCATTTTTTATCAATTTTTTCTTATGCTCTAAACAATGTAATGCCATGACAAAATACTAAATTCACAAAACAGTTTTTTCCTGGTAGTCAGGAGGATATGTGCAATTCCATGTCGGATTTCTTATATTTTTGTATTGTTTTTTTGTTACAGTGTAGTCTGTCTGAAATGTTCCTCTGTCAAATGTTATTAGACATTTTCAACATGAATAATGCTTGCTTGTTGTTATATAAAGATATACAACAAGAACACAAGTTGGGGAAGTTTATCATTATTTTACCTTTCCTGAAATCCTCTTCTCCTGAAATTTTAAATGAAGCTAAACACCATCAGAATAATGTGGGGAAAAGCCAATGATGCAATTGGAAGCAGCCACAAAGCCGTAAAATCAGCGTACAAATCATGCTTATAAATATTGTGCGGCGTAAACAGTCCAACATTTCCAACGGCAAACAGTTCAGCACAATTATAAAAAAAATATGCTGTGTCAAATGGATCACTTGAGCTAAACCGTTATACAAAAAGCAACCAGAGAGGCAGAGGCTGAGAGATTCACATGTTCATATAGTCCTTGAGTGGAGGTGGATGGAGAAATCAGTACTGTACAGCTGAATATGACAGGATCAGATGAACATGCTCCTCCAGAAAAACCATCAGTTACAGCCACACATCTCA